TTCTTAACACAAAACATCCAGAAACTCTGAGACACCCTGAAATGACCAAACCTAAGAATTTTTTTGATAGATTTGCCATGAAAACTTCCAGACCTAGTGAATCTTGTTCAATTTAGAGCCAGACCAGAAGTGCAGACTGAACATTTGACTGTTTTATGCTTTGGGACACAGAACTCAGACTGCCAGTGAAGTAGTCAGTCTTCTGTTGAAATATAGGACATGAGAACAGAGACCTCGATTTCCCCATCAGAGGAAAACAGACTCATTACAAGGAATGACTGGAGACCCTCTTTAGATATGAGGAGGGAGTCTAAGGGGGTTTGCTGCTGTTCAGATACTGGGACAATTTATTTAAGAGCAGCATTGCATTTGTACTCTCGCCCATTACAAAAACCTTCTCCTGTATTTTGGTTAGGATGGATTGAAGAGAATTGTGTTTTGACAAATTGTGCTATAGTATTGACCTGTTAAATTGTGTTATGGTACTGACCTGCTAATGCTTTAGTTCACTATAAGATGTTAATGATTAAAAAATGATTAGAACCTGTCTAAGAAAAGTTTGACATTAGCAATGAATTCTTGAATTTTGCATGTTTGATAAGACACATTTAGATTTTAATACTGCTGAATACTCTAGACCAGTTCAAAAGTGGGCATTTCCAAGCCTGGTGATCCTCCACTCCTTTAATTAGGAGATATTATAGCCATAGAAGTATGAATAGCACAAAGTATTATCTGCTTGCTTACCATTAGCTAAATGTGGATGAACTCTCTTGTTAGAAACTTGGCTCAGAGACAGAGCCCAGTACTGTCTCCTTTAACCCTTTATTTACAGAGGCTGACAGTCAGTGACAGGTCTGATCCTTTTTCCCCCAGGTGCCTAAGACATGGACTTGCATATTTGGAAGGCATGTTCAGAAGATGGGTAAGTCTGGGAAATGGAAAAGTGTTCACCTAAGGCAGAAGCAACCATCTGCCTGATGCAGAAGTGAGGCATTATTAAAATAAATAAAAAGGGAAGAATTGTGGAAGCCCAAAAATATGAGCCTATTTCCATGTAGACCAAAGGTCAGAGAGTTGGAACTTACCTCTAGTTCTTTAAGGTTATTGTACCTCCACCTCAAACAAAGGTCCCACATAGATGTAGATCAGAGAATTCTGCTCTCTCAAGGTTATTGTCAACAGGTATAGCTAATAGCCAGACTTTGTACTCCAAGAATAAGTCTAAGGATCCAACTAAGTTCCAATTCCCTTAAGGAGATAACTGGATTCCGCCCAGAGAGTGGTTTGCCTACAGAACGCTTTGGTCTAGGGTATGAATGTGACTTGTTTTGTTCTAACAACAGAATGTTTAACTATGAATGTAGCCTCTGACTTTCAATTGGTATGTTCATTCCTTGTATCTGTTAATGCAGTTTTTTTGTCTTATTCCTACCTTTTGGAGTCAGGGGTATTTAAAACAATTGAAAATTAAATGTGGATGAATTTTTAATACTCACTGGAAATCCCTCCCAATACTATACTATATGTTTCTCCATTTTATTATTTTCATTTGTATCTTCATATTCCTTACTATATTTATAATCAAGGCTGGTCCCCAAGAAGAGAGAAACTCTGAAGCACAGGTTGTGACTGCACAGAGTGGATCAAGAGAGCGCACCAAGAGAGATCTCAGTGGCTCCCTCAGACACAATCAGTGACAGTACAAAATAGACCAAGAACAGTTACCAAAGATACAGACAGCCACTGCAAGGATTGGACTAAGAGGCAAAGACACTGCCAGCACCAATTGGAGGAAGAGATGAATAGGTGCCAATGTAAGAATTCACCCAACAACCTAAAAAGCAGCAAAGCAACACCAGAACCCACTGGTCATACAACAGGAAGACTTGATCATCCTAACCAAGAAGAAGCAGAAGAAAATGATTTGAAATGTAACTTTATGAGGATGATGGAGACCTTTAAAGAGGAAATGAAAATTTCCAAGAAAAACTGGAAAAAAAGACAAACAAAAAATTGGAAATCAATAAATTTCTCAAAGAAAACCAAGAAAAAACAATCAAACAAGTAAAGCAAGCAGTTAAAGACTTGAAGACTTAAATAGAGGCAATAAAGAAAATACAAACTGAGAGAATTCTGGATATGGAAAATCTGAGTAAATGAACAGGAACTATAGAGGCAAGCATAAACAAGAGAATACAAGTGATGGAAGAGAGAATCTCAGACATTGAAGATATGATAGAGGAAATAGATCCATTGGTCAAAGAAAATGTGAAATCCAACAAATTCTTAACATATAACAGGAAATCTGGGACACTATGAAAACACCAAACCTAAGAATAATAGGAATAGAAAGAGAACTCCAGCTCAAATGCACAGAAAATAAATTCAACAAAATCATAGAAGAAAACTTTCCCAATCTTAAGAAGGATATTCCTATGAAGGTACAAAAATCTCATAAAACACCAAGTAGACTGGACCAAAAAAAAAATTGCCTCGCCATATAATAATCAAAACACAAAACATACAGAATAAAGAGACAATATTAAGAGCTGCAAAGGCAAAAGGCCAATTAGCATATAAAAACAGACCTATAAGAATTACACTCAATTTCTCAATGAAAATCATGAAAGCTTGAAGGTCCTGGAGAGATGTGCTGCAGACACCAAGAGACCACAGATCTTTCCATCACCATAGATGGAGAAAACAAGATATTTGATGATAAAACAAGATTTCAACAATACCTATCCACAAATCCAGCCCTAATAAAAGTACTAGAAGAAAAACTTCAACCCCAAACTGCCCCCAAAAAAAAACACAGGCAACAGAAAAATAAATCAGCAAAGCCTAAAAAAGGGAAACACACAAACACTACCACTGAACAATAAGAGGATTTAACACTCACTGGTCATTAATATCTCTTAATATCAATGGACTCAATTCACCTATAAAAAGACACAGGCTAAGAAAATGGATACAAAAACAAGATCCAGCCTTCTAATGTATACAAGAAACACACCTCAATCTCAAAGACAGACATTACTTCAGAGTAAAAAGTTGGGAAAAGATTTTCCAATCAAATGGACCTAAGAAACAAGCAGGTGTAACTATCCAAATATCTAACAAAACAGGCTTCAAACTAAAATCAATCAGAAGAGATGGAAGACACTTTATACTCTTAAGAGGAAAAATACATCAAGATGAAGTCTCAATCCTGAATATCTATGCCCCAAATGCAAGAGCACCCACATATGAAAAAAAAGACATTACTAAAGCTTAAATGGCACATCAAACCCCACACACTAAAAAAAGGAAACTTCAACACCCCAATCTCCACAATGGACAGGTCAACCAGACAGAAACTTAACAGAGAAATAAGAGAACTAACAGATGTCATGAATCAAATGGAGTTAGCAGACATCTATAGAACATTTCAACCAAACACACACACACACACACACACAAATCTTCTTCTCAGCACCTCATGGAAACTTCTCTAAAATTGACCACATACTCAGTAACACAGCAGACCTCAACCGATACAAAAAAAATTGAAAGAAAAAAAAAACCCTGTATCTTAATGGATCATCATGGTTTAAAGTTAGAATTTAACAACACTAATTGATAAAGCCTACAAACTCATGGAAATTGAACAGTGCCCAATTGAACCACCACTTGGCCAAGGGAGAAATAAAGAAAGAAATTAAAGACTTCCTAAAATTCAACAAAAGTGAAGGCACAACGTACTTAAACCTGTGGACACTATGAAAGCGGTGCTAAGAGGAACGTTCACAGCACTAAGTGCCTACATAAAGAAAGGGGAAAAAATCTCACACTAGTGACTTAACAGCACACCTGAAAGCTCTAGAACAAAAGGAAGCAAACTTACCCAGGAGGAGTAAAAGACAGGAAATAATCAATAGAGGACTGAAATCAATAAAATAAAAACAAAGAAAAACAATACAAAGAATGAGACAAAGAGCTGGTTCTTTGAGAAAATCAACAAGATAGATAAACCTTTATCCAAACTAATCAAAAGGCAGAGATAGAACATCAAAATTAACAAAATCAGAAATGAAAAGGGGGACGTAACAACAGACACTGAGGAAATCCAGGGAATCATTAGGTCATACTTCAAAAACCTGTCTTCCACAAAATTGGAAAATATAAAAGAGATGGATAATTTTCTGTATAGGTACCACATACCAAAATTAAATCAAGACCAGGTAAACAAATTAAATAGACTTACAACCTGCAAGGAAATAAAAGCAGTCATCAAAAGTCTCCCAACTAAAAGAAGCCCAGGACTGGATGGTTTCAGTGCAGAATTCTACCAGAACTTCCAAGAAGTGGTAATACCTGTACTCTTCAAAGAGTTCCACATAATAAAAACAGAAGGAACATTGCCAAACTCTTTTTATGAGGCTACAGTTACTCTGATACTGAAACCAAACAAAGACTCAACCAATTACACGTTTTCTTACTTACACTTGTTTTGTGTTTTTAACTATATGTAATTTTGACTGCTTTTTATTTATGAAGTCCTTTGTGTCTTTGTGTTTCTGAGGAATGTAACCATCATCTTAAAAGCAGTGTTTTCTGTCATTTTACTTGCATATAATATTTCTGAATTCTCTTCATTCATAAATATATGAATGATTTGTCTTTTCATAGACCACACTGTACTCCAAATCATAAATTAAAGAAGCTCTTTTATTATGGTGCTGCAGATTGAATCCAGGACCCAGCAATTGCTAGGCAAGCTCTCTACTACTGAGCTATGCCCAACTCATTTCTCAAGTGCTTCAAAAAAGAAATTTATTTTCACCATTCTTTCTGTTATGTCTTTCTAAAATATCCTATTTCCAAATCTTCTAGTTGAAGAATCAATATGTGAAAAAAAATTAATCAGGAAGAAAAATCTGAGAATCAGAATTCCCATAGCATACAACATCAATTAACATGAAATTCATTATTGTAGATATAAGTAAAGTTCTTACCTGCATGAGCTGCTGCTTCAATTTCTGAATTTCTGAAATGTTCAGCTCACTGAATAAGTCAGACACGGGGTGTAGGGATTCTCCTTTCCGTGATGTGGGAGTACGATAGTCTCCATTAAGTTTCCCAAGAGGCCCATGGATATGCCCATTCATCTTGTCGTCGTTGTTTGGCTCGCTCCCATCCTCAGAAAACTTGAGCCCATCTACCGAGATGCTGATGTGGTTATCACTGAGGTTGATGTACTGGGACAGCTCCTTCCTCAGGTTGTTCTTTTGTTCTCTTTCATTTTTCAATGTCTCAAGGGCTTCTTCCAACTGATGCTCTGCAATCTCTTTCAGTCGGATGGCATCTTCCAGTTGGCTGTTCAGTAACACCGTCTCTTCTTCAAATCGCTTAATTTCATGTTTCAAGCCTTCGTACTCAACCTAAATTAGACAGGTTAAAAAAGATTCATAAAGATAAAATTTTGACCTTAATAAAAATTTCCATTAAAAACTCTAATGGATTTAATCATTTAAGTAAAATATAAACAGTCTATAAAATAAAAAATAAAAAGTGCATACTACATTCTTAGGATAACACACAACAGTTACATAGATACAAACACACACACACACACTCACACATATATATATATATAGCTATATTTTAAAGTATAAAAATATATATTTAACACACAGAAGAAATGAAAGGTATCTATTATACTAGGATATTTTTAGGACATAGTGGACAAAAGGATCCATTACTTATTAGGATCCATTGTTTTCCTAATAAGCATCAATAAAATATTTTGATAACTTTTTTCAAATTTTTTAATATGCAGCACCCAAGAAAAAAATCTTTATCACCACTGCTTTATTTCATCAATTAAAAATACAGTTTTAGTATGCAGACAAACATTTGTTTAAAAGATCACAAGAAGACCAAAATTTCAATAAAACATTTTTGAGAATAAGATTTTAAAAAGCCAAAAATTTAGCCTCAAATAATGAATATCTATGCTGTGAGTAATGTTACATCCTCTCTAATTACAATAAAGAACCTGCTCAAATAACCTTTGGCCACAGACACCATAGGTGACAATGTCTCTGAGCTTGTATGCATTCCTGGAGACTCTTCCATGATACAATGCCACCTTTTAAAAACATGTTTTCTGGGGCAAACACGGTGCTACATTTCTTTAATCCCAGAACTCTGGAAGCAAAGGCAAGTAAATCTGTGAGTTTGAGGCCAACATGGACTACACAGTAAGTTTCCAGGCCAGTCCATGTTTCTCAATAAAAAAAATTTAAGTACCTTTTGCTTCTCCTAGGTATCCCTTAGTATGTCAATGCTCCTCCACAATGTTTAAAACCAAATTCTGCTCTTCAATAAGCATTTGCTTAGTAAATAACTATTCTGGAAAAAAAACTAGAACAAGTAATAAACATTATACTACTAGATACTAATATAAACTGTACATTTAGTTTTATATCTGTATTTTTATTGTTTAAATTGAAACAGGAATCATAGATCATTATTGCTTTCATATATATTTTACTCTTCCTCCTCCTTCCTTTTGTAATATTAATGGAATTATTTATTTTGAAAATGTTGAGGATATAGATTTGACTGAAATAAATAAGAACTAATTGAAAATGCCTTAATTAAGATAGAAGGACTTTACCCTGTGTAACAGAATGGGAATAGACAGCCAAGTCAAGCTTGGATCTCAGCTCCATAAGATCCTCTGTGAACCAGACTTCTCTCTTGCTATATAACTTCCTACTACAGTCCACACAAAGAATCTATGCCAGAGGCAATTCATGAAGCCCATGTAGATCTGCAGTGATAAAGAGTAATAATTGGAGTAGAAGGGTGATGTGTGATTCCCCTCTGTATGCTGTGAACTGGTGAACAAAGAAACTGCCTTGGCCTGTTGATAGGGCAGAACTTAGGTAGGTGGGGAAAACTAAACTGAATGCTGGGAGAAAGTAGGCAGAGTAAAGGAGTCTGCCACTGGAGACAGACACACTGAAATTTTGTTCGTAGGCCACGACCTCGTATGATGCACAGATTAATGAAGATGGGTTAAATGAAGATGTAAGAGTTAGCCAATAAGAAGTTAGAGCTAACGGGCTAAGCAGTGATTTAATTAATACAAATTCTGTGTGATTGTTTCAGGTCTGAGCTGCCAGGCAGCCAGGAAACAAACTAACAGCCTCCCTATAACAGAAGGCTAGTAAAAATATATCTCTTTAAAAGCAGAGAACCTAAGCTCCAATGTCCAAGTGATATCCAGCTCCTAGAAATGAATTACCTAGTGTTATAAGATGGAACCATGCTCCAATACAAGGTGTCAGCAGAGCTTACTAATGTCTGCTAGTACCATGTGGTACTAGTTTTGCAGGTATGAGAGATGTAATAGTGAAAGGATCATGAAGTCTTCTTCCACAGTTTCAAAGACTTTGGGGACCAACCAGCATGTGGCATGATAAAGTTCCTCAAAGAAGGTCCTGAGAAACCATAGCGTGAAACTGTGAGGGTGAACCCTAAGTTGTAGTGGAGATTTAAAATATTGGAAATACCAGAATCACGAACCATCTTAGGTATGGTATGAAGCCTACCTAAGACAGAGGCTATATATACTGCAGAAGGCAGAGCTAGAGGAATGGGGCACAGCCACTTTCATCACAAGCCCCAGATGGCAAACATGAAGCTGTAGGATTCAGTTAAACTAAATGCATTTTGCACCAAGTAATGTCCATTAGCCTGGGGTGGGTGGGGTAGCCAGAAGCAGAATGTTGTGGTTTGAATGTGAAATGTCCCCTATAGGCTCACATGTTTGAATACATGACTCACACCCACTGGTGCTATTTAGAAAGGCTGTGGAAATTTTAGGAGGTAGAGTCTTGCTGGTGGAAGTTGGTAACTGCGGGATATGCCTTGAGAACTTATAGCCCAGCTCCATTACCTGATCACTCTCTGCTTTCCAGGGGCAAATATAATATAACCATCCAACTTCTTGTCCCTGTCACCATATCTTTCCTGCTTGCTAAACCAAAATAGACCCTTTCTTCCCTAAGTTGTTTTTGTCATGGTGTTTTATTACAGCAATAAAAATGAACTAAAACATCATCCAAGCTTTATTATAGGAAGAAAATGTAAATTATAAGGGGCTTTTATAATAAGGTTACAGCTGAAAAAGAAATCAAGCATTTAAAATGAAAGAAGAGACAGAGAGACAAAGGGGAGGAGGAGAGATGAAAGAAAGGGGAAGAAAAAAGAAAGGAAGGAAAGAGAGCAGAGGAGAGATGAAAACAGAGGGGAGAAATGGGGAGGGACAGAAGGGGCAGCTAGGAAAGAAGGGAAGATAGAAAGGAAGGAATTGGGTAAAGGAAGGGACATTGGGGAAGGAAGGAACAAAGGGAAGAGAAGACAAGGGAAAGAAAGGAAAGAGAAGGGAAGGGAAGAGAAGAGAGGGGAGACAGAAAAAGGGGAGGAAGGCAGACAAGTTTTATAGAAAGATCTTAAGGGTGCTATCTGTATAAAACAAGTTAGTACGCCAGCAGCAATAGGAAGTTGCTAAGTTAAATTTATTATAATTTATTATATTTGACTTAGTACTAAAACAAATGATCACTAAGTTAAAACAAATTAAAATTTTGCTTACTTAATAAAACTGCACTGTAAACTATACTACTTACATTTTTTTCTTATACATTTTAGCTGACATAGTAAGATAGAGAAATTAAAGGAGTATAAAAAACATGACAAGTTCTTTCTTAAGAAACAAAGTATAGGGCTAAAAAGATGGCTCAGCAGTTAAAGGGCATGCGCTGCTCTTCCAGAGGACCTGACTCCAACACCCACATCAAGGGTCGATTCTGAGTCTGTGGCTCCTGCAAGCACCTGCACTCCTGTATGTGCTCATACACACACATAAAAATAAACATTTTGAAAGAAAAGGAAGAATAAACTTCATTTATTAGAAAATGTAGATCTGAGGGAAAGGGGAGGCGGAGGTGGGGAAGAGACAGAAATCTTTAATAAATTTAAAAAAAAACAGAAAATGTAGATCTATCTATGGTATAACTTTAAAAGAAAATCTTCTTAATCCTCACCTGGTTCTGTTTTAATGTGGACACCAGTTTTTGCAATGTAATATTTTCTTCTTCCAGTTCTGTATAGTCCTGAAGGAGTCTGGTCTCCCGGAATTTATATTCTCGGATTTCATCTTTCATTCGTATTCTCTGTAGCTCCACCATCTCATTGTTCTGAAACAACAACAAAAGCAATCAGTAGAAAACTTCCTTACTCTAGGTTTCAGAAAATGTAGAAAAGAAACCCTGGTTGTTAGATAACAGAAAAGATTTCCTGTATTTAAATTGGCACTGCCTTTTTAGATGACACTTTAATAATATCTATCAAAATTTTTAAAGAAATCTGACATTTAGCCGGGTGGTGTTGGCCGCGTGCCTTTAATCCCAGCACTCAGGAGGCAGAGGCAGGTGGATTTCCGTGAGTTCAAGGCCAGCCTGGTCTACAAGAGATAGTTCCAGGACAGGCACCAAAAACTACAAAGAAACCCTGTCTCGAAAAAACAAAACAAAAAAAAAAAGAAAAAGAAAAGAATAAATCTGACATTTAAAAATCATTCTTTTTATTGTTTTTATTGAGCTATACTTTTTTTTCCACTCCCCTCCATTCATCTCCTCCCTCTTTCTACCCTCTCCCATGACCACCACACTCCCAATTTACTCAGGAGATCTTTTTGTTTTTTTTTTCCTTCCTATGTAAATCCATGTATGTCTCTCTTAAGGTCCTCTTTGCTTTCTAGATTCTCTGGTGTTGTGGACTGAAAATCATTTTTAAAGCGCAAACTAAATGATCTTTTTGAAAAGAAAAAAAAACTATAGTCAAAGAAGACAGATCATTTGTTTGTAAAGGCATCTGCCTAGCTTACTACAGACATTAAAGATATTGAATGGATAAACAAAGGAAAGACTGAAACCAAAGGATTAAAGCTGAATTGAATGTACAAAGAGAACACATAGGTCCAATGGTTTATATTTTTAAGGATCATCAACAAAGGTAAATATAATCAGTGAAAACTTTTTTTTTAACACATTGTAAACAGATGTCACAAATCAATGCTAAAAAGAATGGCCAGGGTGCTGACCCAAGACCACATCATGTGAGAGAGTGCCAGTTGCTCTAGATATGCACATTCTGAGGGGATTTTAAGACACTTTTGCCAAAATAGTTCTTGGGAATAGGCTAAATCTGTCCACACAAATATAAAACTAAGAAAGTTATTCTCTGTAGATTCAGAAACTATAAATACAGCTGGTGAAACACAGAGAACCTTCTTCATTTAACCACAGAGTAACAATTAGAGTGGCCAGACACTAGCAAGAGCCTTGGGAGGGAGGCAAGAGATAGAAAATGAGAACTACTTTCAAACCTTTATTGCACCAGGCATTTTTAAAGGGTCTATTTGTTAGTATTATCATCTCCTGGCTGAAAAGAAAGACCTTACCCAATACGATGAGCCATGTGGTAAAGAGTTGGTCTATAGCTTGGCACTATTGGGAGACAGCAAAAAGGTTAAGAAGTAGGCTGTTGTGGGATATTTCCAGTCTGAGAAGCCTGCCTTAAATGGAACAGTGGAGCCCCAGCCTCTTTCTCTCTTGTTCTCTGTTTGTATAAAGATTGTAGTGAGTTCTAGTTTGTTCTGCCAAGTGTTCTCTGCCATGATGTGCTGTCTCACCCAAATACAACAGGACCTTTTGATATGGACTAAAATCCCCAAAATTCAAGTCAAAATAAATCCTTTATCTTTGTAAGTTGACTCTCTCAAGTGTTTATTACAGCAACTGGAAAGCTGATGACAAAGGAAACAAATACAACTTGCCCAGATTACATTGTTGGTAGGTGGTACAGCAGATATTTGAGTCCAGGGATGGAGAATTCCTAAAACATGTTCTTTTAGTTGAACCTATTTTTTGTTTGTTTGTTTGTTTTTGGTTTTTCGAGACAGGGTTTCTCTGTAGCTTTGGAGCCGTCATGGAACTAGCTCTTGTAGATCAGGCTGGCCTTGAACTCACAAAGATCCGCCTGCCTCTGCCTCCCGAGTGCTGGGATTAAAGGCGTGTACCACCACTGCTCAGTTTAGTTTAACTTATTTTTTTAAGCTTCAATAAAAATTATTTCTAAAATAATCTGTTTGTGTCAAGCACTGTCCTAAAGCTGTAAATACCAAAATAAGTAACAAATAAAACATGCTTTTACTTGAAAAAAAAACTTGTTAATTTATTATATATTCTGTAGAATGCCATATGTATCTAATAGAGATACATCTTTTAGTGATGTCAAAGAATTATTGTCCTGCAAAGAGTCATTACCAAATTACTACTAAGGTGCCTTCTTGACCTATGGCTCTATGGGTATGGACTCCTTGCATTGGAACAGATGTAGATATAATAGATTTCTGGAAGCTGAGGCACTGATATATTATAAAACTTAATTATATATTCTAGAGAAGGGAAAATGAAATTCTAATGTGGCTTTAAAAACATAGGGATAAGGCAGCGTTTGAAATACAGCTGTCATATCCTGTTAAAAGCTATCATAAAGTCCCAACAAACTACAAATTTAGCTATTATCTAATCCTAGTCCTACTGTTACATCAGAATACCATAGATTTGAAAGGTTGTAAAGAAAAAAAATCTCATAGTTCTGGAGGAAGTCTAAATAAAATTAAGGCACCACCATGGATGATATCTAGTAAGAGCTACTGTCTGCTTCCAAGGTGGAGCCCTTTTCTAAATAGATTTACTTTATTTTTAGTTATCTTTATGCATGTTGGTCTGCATAGGGATACGCACATGTGAGAATAGGTGCCCTCAGAGAGGGTTGGATCTGGAGTGCCAGCTGGTTATAAGGTGGGTTCTGGGAATCAAATGTGAGTCATCTCCAAGACTGATGTGTGTCCCTGACCATTAAGTTATTTCTCTAGCTCAAGATGCAACCTTCTTGCTGTGTTGTCGAGAGGGAAGGGCTGCTGCTTTAATATAGATAAGGAGATTAAAACATCTTATCTAGTTCCTTTTATCCTATTCTTGAGCTCTTTTTTTACTCAAGACTTCATCATCTCTTCAAGGACCCTCCTCTTAATACAATGACATTAATGATTAAGTTTTAATATATGAATTTGAGGGAGACACATTCAGACCTTAACAGCTACGGTACTGTAATGGTTTCTCTTGAATGTCAATTTATCCAAATTCTGAATATCTTAGGAGAAAAAAAGTCATGATGTTACAGTAAAGGCATTTCCAAAGAAATTAAAATAAAGTAGGAAGACCCACCCTGAATGTGGGTAACAACATCCACAAATGAATAAAGCCAGCCCCACCCTCTTCCTTATGTAGATACAATGTGGCCAGGCACCTTCCCATGATAGACTGAACCTTCAAGCTCTTAGCCAAATCCTCTCTTCTTAAATTGATTTTGACAGGTATTTTGTTATAGTAGCAAGAAAAGTAACTAATACATAAAAATAGTACAAAGTACTGGGACTCTTGCTAAGTCTGACCATGCGGTTCTTAGGCTTCTGGAAATGGTTTGTGAAAGAAATGAGCAAGAGTTTAAAGAGGCAACCGAGAGAAGCTGTGACACGCATGTAGAGGTCAAAGGGCAACTTTTCAGTCAGTTCTCTTCTTCTACTTTTACATGGTTCCAGAAATTGAACTCAGATTGCAAGGCTTGTGTAGTAAGCACTTTTACACACTGAGACATCTTACTAGCCCAAAAGTTTAATTATCTAATTTTATAGTTTAAGCAATGTAGATGTGGGGTTAATTTATTACAAAACAAGTGTTCCATAATAATCTTTAAATGAATCTATTTAGGTTATACTCAATATGTTAGACCTAAAAGAGGAGATATAAACATTAAATTCAGAAGGAGAACCCAAAGAAAAATATATAGGCATCCTCCTGAATATTAACCTTCATCAGGCGATGAAAGGAGACAAGAGACAGAGACAGAGACCCACATTGGAGCACCGGACTGAAATCTCAAGGTCCAAATCAGGAGCAGAAGGAGAGAGAGCACAAGCAAGGAACTCAGGACCGCGAGGGGTGCACCCATACACTGAGACAAGGGGGATGTTCTATTGGGAACTCACCAAGGCCAGCTGGCCTGAGTCTGAAAAAGCCCGGGTTAAAACCGGTCTCGCTGAACATAGCGGACAATGAGGACTACTGAGACCTCAATGGGTTTTTGATCCTACTGCACCTATTGGTTTTGTGGGAGCCTAGGCAGTTTGGATGCTCACCTTACTAGACCTGGATGGAGGTGGGTGGTCCTTGGACTTCCCACAGGGCAGGGAACCCTGATTGCTCTTTGGGCTGACGAGGGAGGGGGACTTCATCATCTTTTTTTAAAAACAAGCAGAGCAGGTTGGGGTAGGTACCCTCACAACTCCCTCCTCTCTTTTTTCCCCAAGATAGCTGACCTCCTAGAAAGGCCACTAGTAATTCTTGCTAAGTCAGTCTGTTTGTTATGTGTCTAAAATCTTCAGCTTTTTCTTAAAGTACTAAATCTTGTCCCGAGTATCTCAAAATATTGATGTTCTGGGGGTCATCTCNTTTCTCACATCTCACAGGGCCTTGAAGTAAAAATCTTGAGACAAGAAAACTTAAAGTTAGCCAAAACATTACGTGCTGACCATGGAGACTCAAGCTCTGGAAAGCACCACAGAGTGTCTTCAGGGCTTGCTGCTTATCACTAACAGCAGGTGTTCTAGCCACTGACCTTGCAACTGCCCTGCTTAGCTTTCAAACTGCCCCACTTAGTTGCCTAGCTACCGAGCCCCTCCTTCCCTTTCCCCCTTCCCCCTTCCTCACTTCCCCCTGCCCCGAGCTCCTATATATATAGAGTATATAAGACATAAAACTTGCTTCAATAAACGGGATGCCTTGACAAGGAATACTGCTTGGCGTCCGTTTCTCCCCCCCTCCTTCCCCCCATGTCTTTCAGATAGTGCCTCTTCAAGACCCTGGAATAACTTAGGACCTGCTGGGTGGGTCACTTAAATACTATATAAATTCACCCACCTCTGTGTTTTTATCAAAGTGATGCTGGTCAAAATAAAATGGGAATTTTACTTATTTCACTCATTATGTAGCATTACCTGTAATTTGATTAAAATTATCCACTATCAAGCCAAGTGGTAGCACATGCCTTTAATCCCAGAGCTTGGAATGCAGAGGCAGGTGGATCTCTCTGAGTTCAAAGCCAGCCTGGTCTACACAGAGGGTTCCAGGACAGCCAGGGCTGTTACACAAAGAAACCCTATCTCGAAAAAACAAAAAACAAAAAACAGAACAAAACAAACAAACAAAAAAAAAAAACCAGGATTATCTGTTATCTCCTAATTGGTTTCTGGATTTAAGCGATAATTTTTTTCTTTATATTCCCTTTACTTTCAAAAATATTTTAAATAATTTAACATTAAAGATACATATACATTAAGGCTAATAAAAAATGGGGTCAGTGGGATGACAGGTATACTTGACACTAAGCCTGAAAATCTGAGTTGATACCTAGGTCACTCACGTGGTAGAAAGAGAGAACCTAGTCCTGCAAGTTTCCTCTGACCTCCATTGTAGAACAAGTGTGTGTGCACAAACACACACACACAGCATAAATAAATACTAAAGGTTAATAAAAATAAAAGCTTGTTTAAAGTGTAAAGGGAATTATATGAAAACTGAGACTTTTTACAGTTAAGCATAAGAAGATTTTTAATGATCAAAACAGAAACAGAAATATACAGTGATTCCTTTTGTCTACCTTAAATCGCAACCAAGAGGTTTCAAGATGATAAACTGAAGATTAATGTGTTTTTTTATTTATTTTTGCTGTTTTATTTGGGGTTTGTTTCTTTCTTTTGGTTTGTGTTTGAGGCAAAGTCTTACAACATAGCCCAGGCTGGTCTGGGAAGCTCCCCAGATGCAATTATCACAGGGACACACCATCACACATGGCTAGCTAATGTTTTTTAATGTACAAATACAGACCTATATAATGAATAATAACATCAACAATATTTTATGAAGGATGCACAAAGTTACTAATGATAACAGCATTTGTTTATTATGGGCCAGGAATATAGCAATATAACTTTTTAAAAAAACTTGCACATAAATGAACATAATACTAAAACTAGTAGCAGAGTTGAGACCAGAATACTATTTTCCTAAAACTTAATTCAACAATTTTTCCATTATGGTACCCTACAATTATATTTAGATGAGGTTTGTAACACACATGCATGTATACATAAGGTCACAGTTCACACACAACACCTAAGTGTATATGCCTTTATCAGTATCAGTAATACAATGGAAACAAGATTAATCATTTTATTAAATAAATACAATACTGTTAATTCAATTGTTACAGTCACACAGCATCTATCAAACTAAGGACTTGCCAAATTTTGTTTATCCTTATCTGTGATGGTTGATTTTGATTGTTAACTTAATTGTAGTAAAAACACATAGAGGAGTGTCTCTGTGGGGAAATTTCTAAAGACAAACAGATCCTGAAAGACAACTCTTAAAGGGAATGGTTTGTTTACCTCCTTCAGTTCCTGCACAACAGCTGTGAGCCTCTCATTTTCTGCCTGGACATTTGTGACCACAGCCCGGCTCTGCTTCAGTTCATTCTGCATCTCCAAGATCTTGTTTAGATAATAAGCTTCCTTGGATGCAGACTCTTGTAGAAGTGTTTCCTCCCGAGTCTCTCCATCCTCAGCCACTTTACGATGAGTAGAGAAGGATTGCCCAAATGCCTGCAGAGAATTTTGAAAGAGAAAGAGTAAAAAATGAAAAACACTTCAAGATTGTTGAACAGCATTAGGCAGATGCTTTATTTGGCTTTGTGTATAAGAAAAGCTATTATGTTGATAAAAGGGCTGAGAAAGAAATCAAAGAAACATCACCCTTCACAATAGCTACAACTATCATAAAATATCTCAGAGTAACTCTAAACAAGTGGAAGACTTGTACGACAAGAACTTTAAATCTTTGAAGAAAGAAATTAAAGAAGACACCAGAAAGTGGAAACATCTCCCATACTCTTGGGTAGGTAGAATTAACATAGTAAAAATGGCAATCTTACCAAAAGCAATCTACAGATTCAACACAATGCCCATCAAAATCCCAGCAAAATTCTTCATAGACTTCGAAAGAACAGTACTCAACTTCATATGGAAGAGCAAAAAAAAAAAAAAAAAAAAAAACAGGATAGCCAAAACAATCCTGTACAATAAAAGAACTTCTGGAGGCATCACAATCCCTGACTTCAAACTCTACTACAGAGCTACAGTACTGAAAACAGCCTGGTATTGGCATAAAAACAGAGAAGTCGACCAATGGAATCGAATAGAAGACCCTGACTTTAACCCACAAACATATGAACACCTGATTTTCGATAAAGGAGCTAAAAGTATACAATGGAAAAAAGAGAGCATCTTCAACAAATTGTGCTGGCAAAACTGGATGTCAATCTGTAGAAGAATGAAAATAGACCCATATCTAACACCATGCACAAAACTCAAGTCCAAATGGATCAAAGACCTCAACATAAAGCCAGCCACGCTGAACCTTATAGAAGAGAAAGTAGAAAGTACACTTGAATGCATTGGCACAGGAGACCACTTCCTGAATATAACCCCAGCAGCACAGACACTGAGAGAAACAATTAATAAATGGGACCTCCTGAAGCTGAAAAGCTTCTGTAAGGCAAAGGACATGGTCAACAAGACAAAACAACAGCCTACAGAATGGGAAAAGATCTTCACTAACCCCACATCAGACAGAGGTCTGATCTCCAAAACATACAAACTCAAGAAATTGGTCATCCAAAGAACAAATAATCCAATAAAAAAAAAATGAGTGCAGACCTAAATAAACAGAAAACTCTCAACAGAGGAATTTAAAATGTCTGAAAGACATTTAAGGAAATGTTCAACATCCTTAGTCATCAGAGAAATGCAAATCAAAACAACTCTGAGATTCCATCTTACACCTGTAAGAATGACCAAGATCAAAAACACTGATGACAACTTATGCTGGAGATGCTGTGGGGTAAAGGGAACATTCCTGCATTGCTGGTGGGAATGCAAGCTGGTAAAACCCCTTTGGATGTCAGTGTGGTGATTTCTCAGAAAATTAGGAAACAACCTTCTTCAAGACTCAGTAATACCACTTTTGGGTATATATCCAAAGGATGCTCAATCGTGCCACAAGGACATGTGCTCAACTATATTCATAGCAGCTTTATTTGTCATAGACAGAACCTGAAAACAACCTAAATGCCTCTTGACCAAAAAATGGATAAGGAAAATGTGGTACATTTACACAATGGAGTACTACACAGCAGAAAAAATAGCGACATCTTGAATTTTGCAGGCAAATGGGTGGAGCTAGAAAACATCATTTTGAGTGACACAGAAGGACAATTATCACATTTACTCACTCATAAGTGGTTTTTAAACATAATGCAAAGAAAGCCAGCCTACAAATCATAATCCCAGAGAATTTAGACAACAATGAGGACACTAAGAGAAACATGCATAGATCTAATCTGCATAGGAGTAGAAAAAGACAAGAGCTCCTGAGTAAATTGGGAGCATGAGGACCTTGGGAGAGGGTTGAAGGGGAGGAGAGAGGCAGGGAGGGGAGCAAAGAAAAATGTAGAGCTCAATAAAAATCAATTTAGAAGACATTTAAAAAAGAATGGCTACTCTGAAATACTTCTAGGTACAAAAAATAAAATAATAAAGTCCCCTTACTGACAAGAAACGTATGTCACTACTGCATCCCTAGGATTACCATGCCATGGTGACCGGTGTCATTCATGAGCATCATAGCTGGGTAGCACTGTGGTTGCTTCCTGCCTTTGGAAGATTGCATGGTGTTTTCTGGTACCATGAAATCTAGTCCTCAGGGAGGAGGATTTCAAATAAGTTCCAAATCAGAGGTCTCTGGGATCTGTGTCTGAAGTGCCTTGTTTCCTGGAGAAAGTATTGTCAGCCCTGATGGGAAATTTTCACTTAAACTGTGTATGTATATTTATACAAAGACTTACTATATTACAGGAATGTTTAGTTCCCACTGCCTAATTAGAGCCTCCCACGTTTTCCGTTTCCTCTGTCTGATCACTTGCCCTCTTTCTACTGTTACCCCACTCTGCACCTTGGCAATGGTGTTTTTTTTTTTTTTTTTTTTTTTTTACTTTCCTGATTTCTGCAGTTACTCCAAGATACGTACTTATATCTGAAGATTTGGAGCTAGAGAACATGTGACATTTGTCTTTCTGAGTATGGGTTACCTCTCACAGTATGATCTTTCCTAGTTCCATTCATTTACCTGAAAAGTTCACATTTTCATTTTTTCTTACAGCTGAATAGTATTCCATAGTGTATATGTAACATATTTTCATTTCCCACTCTTCAACTGAAGGACATTTAAGTTGTTTCCATTTCCTAGGTATTGTCAATAGAACATGGTTGAGCAAGTATCTGTGAAGTAGAATATCAAGGTCTTTGGGCATAAACCAAGGAGAGGTATAGGTGAGTCAAATATTAAGTTTATTTTTAGCTTTTGATAATACTCCAGAGTGGCTGGGCCACTTTGTAGTTCTGGCAACAAGGAATAAGGGTTCTCTTTTCTATGCATCCCCTGCAGCATCTGTTGTCCATTCTTTCGTTGGTATTTGTTATTCTGACAGGGATACAATGAAATCTTAAAGTTGTTTTGATTTGTATTTCACTAATTGTTAGAGATGAATAATTTCTGAGGCATTTTTTCTTTTTTCTTTCTTTCTTTCTTTCTTTCTTTCTTTCTTTCTTTCTTTCTTTCTTTCTTTCTTTCTTTATTAAAGATTTCTGTCTCTTCCCCCCAGCCGCCTCCCCTTTCCCTCCCCCTCCCCCAATCAAGTCTCCCTCCCTCGTCAGCCCAAAGAGCAATCAGGGTTCCCTGCCCTGTGGGAAGTCCAAGGACCACCCACCTCCATCCATGTCTAGTAAGGTGAACATCCAAACTGTCTAGGCTCCCACAAAACCAATAGGTGCAGTAGGATCAAAAACCTATTGCCATTGTTCTTGAGGTCTCAGTAGTCTGAGGCATTTCTTAGCATTTAATTTTTCTTTATCTTTTTTGAACCATCTATTCCGGTCTCAGGCTCATTTTTTTTTAAATGGGTCATTTGTTTTCTTTATTTAAAGGTGGTTTTTGTTTGTTTGCTTGCTTGCTTTTGTTATTGTAATTTAGTCCTTTGGTTTTCTTTTTAGTTCTCTACATATTCTGTATGTTCTCAGACATAGAGCTGACAAAGATCCTTTCCCATTCTTGGGCTTCCTCTTCACTTCACTGACTGTTTCTTTAACTGTGCAGAAGCTTTGTAGTTTTATGAAGTAGAGCTTTGTCAACTGTTGATCTTAATTCTTGGGAAAATGGACTCCAATTTAGAAAGTTTTTCCTATACCTATATCATGTATAGGATATTGCCTATATTTTATTATAGCTGTTTCAGTGTTTAGGGTTACTCAATTAGGGTTTTTTTGTTTTTGTTTTTGTTTTTGTTTTTTGACATTGAAGTCTAAAATATTTATTTGGTGAATCTTTTTTTTTTTATAATTTTTTATTGAAAAAAAAATTCCGCCTCCTCCCCGCCTCCCACCTCCCTCCCCGTCTCCCGTCTCCCTTTTCCCCCCTCCTCCCTCTCCTCTCCCCCTCCCCCCACTTCTCTCTCCCCCCCCACTCCAGTCCGAAGGGCAGTCAGGGTTCCCTGCCCTGTGGAAAGTCCAAAGTCCTCCCCGCTCCATCCCGGTCTAGGAAGGTGAACATTTAAACTGGCTAGGCTCCCATAAAGCCAGAACATAAAGTAGGATCAAAACCTAGTGGCATTGTCCTTGGCTTCTCAGCAGCCCTCATTGTCCGCCATATTCAGAGTCCGGTTTTATCCCATGCTTTTTCAGTCGCAGTCCAGCTGGCCTTGGTGAGCTCACAATAGATCAGGCCCACTGTCTCCGTGGGTGGGTACACCCCTTGTGGTCCTGACTTCTTTGCTCATATTTTCCCTCCTTCTGCTCAACTTGGGACATTGGGAGCTCAGTCCGGTGCTCCAGTGTGGGTCTCTGTCTCTATCTCCATCCATCTCCAGAAAGGGGTACCCTCATCCATTGCTGGTGGGAATGCAAACTTGTGCAACCACTTTGGAAAGCAGTGTGGCGGTTTCTCAGGAAATTCGGGATCAACCTACCCCTGGACCCAGCAATGCCACTCTTGGGAATATACCCAAGAGATGCCCGATCATATGACAGGGGCATTTGTTCAACTATGTTCATAGCAGCATTATTTGTAATAGCCAGAACCTGGAAACAACCTAGATGTCCTTCAATGGAAGAATGGATGAAGAAAGTGTGGAATTTATACACATTAGAATACTACTCAGCGGTAAAAAACAATGACTTCTCGAATTTTGCATGCAAATGGATAGAAATAGAAAACACTATCCTGAGTGAGGTAACCCAGACCCAAAAAGATGAACATGGGATGTACTCACTCATAATTGGTTTCTAGAGATAAATAAAGGTCAGTGAGTCTATAATTTGATCTCCTAAAGAAGCTAAATAAGAAGGTGATCCCAAAGAAAAACATATAGCTATCCTCCTGAATATGGGAAGTAGACAAGATTGCCGGGCAAAAAATGGGATCTTGGGGGTGGGGTGGGAGGGGGATAAGGGGAGAGGGGGAGAGAAAAGTGAGAAGGGGAGGTTGGGGGGAA